CGTGCTTGTTGTAATCTCGCTGAGAAAGCGTGCGAGGTAGACGAAATAGAAGAAGCAGAAAGAAAGAAAAGCAAAAGATGTTCCCACACCGGGACTCGAACCCGGATCTGCTGGGTGAGAGCCAGCTATCCTAACCGCCTAGACTATATGGGAAGGCTGAGCAATGAAACCGCACTCAAAATAACAAACCCAACGCAAATACACACACGCGCAACCACTGCAAACACTGCAACCACGCCCTAAACGCACGCTTCAGACGCACTCGCCATCCTTCCAAGCGCTCTCACGGACACGACTCCGCTCATTGCCTTTGTTGAGCCGCAAAAACTCATCGACGCTATTCATCGTCTCGTCGGGACGACATATTTATTACACGGTGCTCGAGGCCACCTTGCCGTCCTTTGGATCGGTTCAGCCGGTTGACGCTAGTGGGCGTCCGAGGAAAGGTCATCGCTGATGACAGTGGCGACACTCCACCGTGAAAAGACCCAGACGGTAGGTTTGACGTTAACCTAACCGAGTGACTACGACGCGCTTGTTGTAATCTCGCTGAGAAAGCGTGCAAGGTAGACGAAACAGAAGAAGCAGAAAGAAAGAAAAGGAAAAGATGTTCCCACACCGGGACTCGAACCCGGGTCTGCTGGGTGAGAGCCAGCTATCCTAGCCGCCGAGACTATATGGGAAGGCTGCACAATGAAACCGTACTCAAAATAACAAACCCAACGCAAATACACACACGCACAACCACTGCAGCCACGCCCCAAACGCACGCTTCAGACGCACTCGCCATCCTTCCAAGCGCTCTCACGGATACGACTCCGCTCATTGCCTTTGCCGAGCCGCATAAACTCATCGACGCTATTCATCGTCTCATCGGGACGACATATTTATTATATTATTGAGGCCACCTTGCCGTCCTTTGGTTCGGTTCAGCCGGTTGACGCTAGTGGGCGTCCGAGGAAAGGTCATTGCTGATGACAGTGGCGACACTCCACCGTGAAAAGGCCCAGACGGTTGGTTTGGCAATACCACATGCAGGAGCGTAGGGACTCGCAGGCGGAACTTACCGAGTGACTGCGACGTGCTTGTTGTAATCTCGCTGAGAAAGCGTGCGAGGTAGACGAAATAGAAGAAGCAGAAAGAAAGAAAAGCAAAAGATGTTCCCACACCGGGACTCGAACCCGGATCTGCTGGGTGAGAGCCAGCTATCCTAACCGCCTAGACTATATCGGAAGGCTGCACAATGAAACCGTACTCAAAATAACAAACCCAACGCAAATACACACACGCACAACCACTGCAGCCACGCCCCAAACGCACGCTTCATACGCACTCGCCATCCTTCCAAGCGCTCTCACGGATACGACTCCGCTCATTGCCTTTGCCGAGCCGCATAAACTCATCGACGCTATTCATCGTCTCATCGGGACGACGTATTTATTACACGCTGCTCGAGGCCACCTTGCCGTCCTTTGGTTCGGTTCAGCCGGTTGACGCTAGTGGGCGTCCGAGGAAAGGTCATTGCTGATGACAGTGGCGACACTCCACCGTGAAAAGGCCCAGACGGTAGGTTTGGCATTACCACATGCAGGAGCGTAGCGACTCGCAGGCGGAAACTTACCGAGTGACTACGACGCGCTTGTTGTAATCTCGCTGAGAAAGCGTGCGAGGTAGACGAAATAGAAGAAGCAGAAAGAAAGAAAAGCAAAAGATGTTCCCACACCGGGACTCGAACCCGGATCTGCTGGGTGAGAGCCAGCTATCCTAACCGCCTAGACTATATGGGAAGGCTGAACAATGAACCCGCACTCAAAATAACAAACCCAACGCAAATACACACACGCACAACCACTGCAACCACTGCAACCACGCCCCAAACGCACGCTTCATACGCACTCGCCATCGTTCCAAGCTCTCTCACGGACACGACTCCGCTCATTGCCTTTGTTGAGCCGCAAAAACTCATCGACGCTATTCATCGTCTCATCGGGACGACGTATTTATTACACGCTGCTCGAGGCCACATTGCCGTCTTTTGGCTCGTTTCAGCCGGTTGACGCTAGTGGGCGTCCGAGGAAAGGTCATTGCTGATGACAGTGGCGACACTCCACCGTGAAAAGGCCCAGACGGTAGGTTTGGCATTACCACATGCAGGAGCGTAGGGACTCGCAGGCGGAACTTACCGAGTGACTGCGACGTGCTTGTTGTAATCTCGCTGAGAAAGCGTGCGAGGTAGACGAAATAGAAGAAGCAGAAAGAAAGAAAAGCAAAAGATGTTCCCACACCGGGACTCGAACCCGGATCTGCTGGGTGAGAGCCAGCTATCCTAACCGCCTAGACTATATGGGAAGGCTGCACAATGAAACCGTACTCAAAATAACAAACCCAACGCAAATACACACACGCACAACCACTGCAGCCACGCCCCAAACGCACGCTTCATACGCACTCGCCATCCTTCCAAGCGCTCTCACGGATACGACTCCGCTCATTGCCTTTGCCGAGCCGCATAAACTCATCGACGCTATTCATCGTCTCATCGGGACGACGTATTTATTACACGCTGCTCGAGGCCACCTTGCCGTCCTTTGGTTCGGTTAAGCCGGTTGACGCTAGTGGGCGTCCGTGGAAAGGTCATTGCTGATGACAGTGGCGACACTCCACCGTGAAAAGGCCCAGCCGGTTGGTTTGGCATTACCACATGCAGGAGCGTAGGGACTCGCAGGCGGAACTTACCGAGTGACTACGACGCGCTTGTTGTAATCTCGCTGAGAAAGCGTGCGAGGTAGACGAAATAGAAGAAGCAGAAAGAAAGAAAAGCAAAAGATGTTCCCACACCGGGACTCGAACCCGGATCTGCTGGGTGAGAGCCAGCTATCCTAACCGCCTAGACTATATGGGAAGGCTGAACAATGAAACCGCACTCAAAATAACAAACCCAACGCAAATACACACACGCGCAACCACTGCAACCACTGCAGCCACGCCCCAAACG